AAAGCCAGCCTCTGTCTTCCATCCGCCGTGTCATGCTTCTCAACCGAGAGCCTGCTGAAAAAGATAATGATTCATATATCTTGACTCTCCGTCACTACGCTATTGCCACGAAGAAGACTGGTGTATCGAAACGAATCCGTCGCCTGGACCCCAAAGAGATTCGGAACCGTGACAAGAAGAAGAGCGCCGTTCCCAACCTCGGAAAGCTCGAAGATGCCGCCGATTACCTGCTCGACCCCTCTGCTGCAGGCTACACATCAGCAAGTGAGACCGAGCTAGACACCGATGCCGAAGTCGAAGTTGCAGAGAGCACGACCCGCCGAGTCCTGAACAAGCGGGAAATGCAGCGCCAAAAGGCCGCAGAGAAGGGCCAGGATAAGCCAGCCCATACCACCGGTGTTGAGAAGCGTGCTGTGAAGCTCGTAGAGCTGGGCCCTCGCTTGCGCCTCCGCTTGATGAAGGTTGAGGATGGAGTCTGCGATGGCAAGATTATGTGGCACGACTTCATTAAGAAATCCGAGAAGGAGATGCGGAAGATGGACCAGAGCTGGGACGTTCGGAGGAAGGAGAAGGAGCAGAGAAAGAAGCTGCAAAAGGCGAACATTGAGCGGAAGAAGCAGGAGAAAGCCAAGGCTAAGGGCAATGGCCAACAAGTGGCTGAGGATGATGAGGATGAGGATATGGATGATGATGAAGATTGGCTCAGCGATGATGACTTTGACAAGGACGCTGAGGGTGAGGGTGAAGCGGCAGATGATGACTCTGACGCCGATTCCGACGAGTCTATGGAGGAGTAAGTGGCTGTTTGAAGTTACAACACACCTTTTCGAAGGCCTCTACTTGATTGGTTGGTGGACGAGCCGGCTCTTGCGATTGAACTCGAGAATTCAACTCGTGCTGACTTGTTTATTACACTGGTGGATTGTATCAAAAATGACCTCCGTCTTCATGTCTTATATCCATGTCATATGGACCAAAATTTCTGTCACTGTCACATACCCGATAGGCATCTAGGCGTTTTTTTTTTCAGGTTCTGTCTTCATATAATGCAATTTTGCAAATTTATCCTTCATCCTTCATCCTTAGATTGAATTTGATTTCACTAGCATCCCCAAAGATGTTAATCTTCAATGCTATGAATGACATCATAGTCATGGACCTAGTCGTTCCTACCTTGGTAGTTCCTGTTAGCAGTTGCCTTGGTCACTGAGCCGCGCACACCTCGAAATATCGTCTACGGGATGTTCTGTGAGGGTGGGAAGGGCGAGATGTCCAGTCTTGATGATCAAAACATAGACCCTACGACAACAGAGGGATCTTTAACAACTCGACAGAAACTTACTTGCATCCATTTTCTCGCTCTCGCCTTTTTCTGCTTGGAACCAATCGTACTTCTAGCTGCATGTCTTTGATTCGCTATAATCAAAGGAGAAATTTCTTTTTGAAATATACTAATTAGTTCGTTCTACAACAGGAAAAGCCGAGGATGATACATTTTGCCTTGCCTAAACTAAACTAAAGATGGCAATGGCTTTGAGCGGCGGATGTTCGTTATTCATAACTCTAGTCTATTTCTTGAGCCTTTCGTCAACGATCCTGTTCACCATCTTCTCCAAGATAGCGAAATCTCCCCCGGAGGTACCAGCAAAGTATCCCTGCACGCTCTTCTCGACATACTTGCCCACGATATCGATCTCAACGTTGACGAAATCACCGGGTTTTTTCGCCGCAGTGACCACCTTCTCCTGCGTGTAGGCAATGAGCATAACCTCCCAGTATCCATCCTGTCCATCGACGACCTTGGTGACAGTCAAACTAGCACCATCGAGGGTTACATAGCCCTTTTCCACAACATAGCGCAGAATATCTCTATCGCGCGGCTGCAGCCGGAACACCAACGAATTTCCATCGGGTGTGATGGATAGAATCTCCGCAACGGTATCGACATGGCCCTGAACAAAGTGTCCTCCCATCCGGGTATCGGCCGAAACAGCGCGCTCGAGGTTCACGTGGGATTTCGCCTGCAAGGAACCCAGGTTCGTGCGTCGCAGTGTCTCCGGCGCACAGCCAACCTTGAACCAGGTCTTATCGAATGCAGTGACCGTAAGACATGTTCCTTAAGTCCACTTTTAGACAATATCCCATGCATTGTATACAAAGAGCTAAATACCATTCACTGCGATACTATCGCCCAGGTGCGCGTCGGTAAGGATCTCCTCACAGTCAGAGATGGTGAGCGACGTTCCGCCGCCCCCGCTCGACGAGGTATCGATGGGCTCCAAGGCCGTGACAGCTAGTAAAACCACATTAGCGATTGACTTACTTCACAAAAGAAAGATAAACTCACTCCCAATCGTCTCGACAAGACCTGTGAACATAGCTGTGGTTGATGATCTACAAGGAAAATGTCCCCGCGATTGTGGCCTCGGCATTAGCCCCTCCGAGCGGTGTCGGCGTCGGCGTTTTGGCGGAGATTCGCCGGTTCCCCAGATCCCATTTAACGTGGGATTCTGGCTATTTGAGCTTGTATTTGAGCTTTTAATTTTTTGTTCAACTGCGCTCGTATATATTATCATGACGGTCGCGCTCAGATTCCAGGTTGTTGCCCGTCGATCGGGCTTGTCCTGGGGTAGCAATGCCTTGCGGCGCACGGTACCAGGACGGAGCTACTCCAGTGCAGCTTCAGTCGATGGATCGCTGCCTTTGGCTGGTGTCCGGGTGCTTGATATGACACGTGTTTTGGCCGGTGTAACTACATCCCTTGAAGTGCTCCTGTGTGTCTGCAATCCAAACTGACTTGCTCTAGCCTTACTGTACACAAATTCTTGGTGATTTAGGGTATGTGCTAAGCTACGGAGCTATGAAACAGCTCCAATGGGTAATTTTTGTGATACTAACAAGGCGAAATATAGAGCGGATGTTATCAAAGTCGAACACCCTGTGCGCGGCGACGATACTCGTGCTTGGGGTCCGCCGTATGCGAAGTATGAAGATGCTTCCAGAAAAGGTCCTGGCGAGAGCGCTTACTACCTAGCTGTACGGTCCTTCTCTTGAAGATATGGAACAACTTATCATAATACTAATCATCGATATAGGTCAACCGAAATAAGAAATCCCTCGGTCTATCCTTCCAACACAAATCTGGTGTGGAGATTCTACACAAACTTGCAAAGGAATGCGATGTCTTAGTCGAGAACTATCTCCCCGGGGCTCTCAAAAAATACGGCATGGACTATGAAACGCTGCGGGAAATCAACCCCAAGTTGATCTATGCCAGTATCACCGGGTATGGCCAGACAGGTCCATATAGCAACCGTGCAGGCTACGACGTCATGGTGGAAGCCGAGATGGGATTGATGCACATTACCGGTGCTCGGGATGGTGCGCCAGTAAAGGTTGGTGTTGCCGTTACCGATCTGACCACCGGACTATACACATCAAATGCCATCATGGCGGCTTTGATTGCTCGGGGTCGGACTGGTAGAGGTCAACACATCGATGCCTGTTTGAGTGACTGCCAAGTTGCTACGCTATCGAACCTGGCTAGCTCTGCGCTTATCAGTGGGAAAAAGGATTCAGGCCGTTGGGGCACAGCACACCGTAAGCGGCGAACAGTCTCTTGTGTCGAGTGTAATAAGCAAACTAACACCTCCCAGCTTCCATTGTACCCTACCGGAGCTACAAGACCAGCGATGGAGATATTCTCTTCGGCGGTGGCAATGATAGGCTTTTTGGCGTGTTGTGTGATCGACTAGGCTTCTCTGAGTGGAAGACGGACGCCCGCTTCGTCACTAACAGTGACCGAGTACAGCACCGGGCGGAGATCGACGGTATGATTGAAAGCACCACTATGCAGAAGACCACGCAGGAGTGGTTGGATATCTTTGAGGGCAGCGGTATGCCCTATGCGGCTGTCAATGACATTCAGGGAACCCTGAATCACAAGCATGGTAAGTCTGCCTTATTTTCACCATTTGTGATAAAAGCGGTGCTGACTCTACCATCAGTTCTGGCACGAGGCATGGTGACGGAAGTTGACCACCCTGCATGTGGTCCCATCAAGATGGTCAACACGCCTATCAAGTACTCCGAAGCGACACCGGGTGTACGCACGCCTCCGCCTACTTTGGGCCAGCATACGGATGAGATCTTGGGCAGTGTTCTCGATTATGGAGAGGCAGATATCGCCCGCTTGAAGGACGAGGGAGTCGTGTCCTAAACCTTGAATTATTTATGAGAAACATGAAATGCATCTCCCGAGGTCTGTATATAAGGAAACTAAACATTATGGCCATTCCAAATGGTCCCTCGGTCCCTCTGTCATCTTTCTATCCTTCTTGGACAATTGTACTACATCCCATGAGCTCTTGGGCTTTCCTTTTGCATATAATCAAGCATAATGCATAACTGGGGTTCATATTGTAAGGACCATGAGAGGTTCAAAAAAGGACATAATCGTAGTTTCTTTAAAATATGTTGTTGTTGTATATCACCTATATGTATATAATGTCACGAGTAGCTACTCGAGGACAAGACAAATGTGCTCCAGATCCACATAAGAAATAAACAAAATAGGTTCGATATTAGATCAAATGATCAAGGTTTAAATTTCAAATCGCAAAGACCCTCGAATTCGGCGAAATACGTCGGTCAACGAGTGAAGAAAGGAAAGCCATTTAAGGTTGCATAGGGATGTCACGTGACTGATATACAAAGAAAGGTCTTGCATGCAACGACTTCACTTCAACCCTACTTCCAGTTGAAGAATTGAGAGGAGCCAACTATGTTTGACTGCCCACTCAGCAAACATCTTAGTGTCTATTGTGGTTTATACCAGGCTGGAATACTCGCACTGCCCTAGAAGAACACAAATAGTGGGTTTTCCGCTCGCTATCACCTATTGCTTTGTTCTCTACTTCCACACAAAAGCTCAACTAGTTCTCCGGGATAATCTTGCCAAGTCCTGGTTTTGAAAATACCCATTTGCAAGGAAATTCACCATGAGGGTCTCGGCGGCATTCATGGACCTCCCCGCCCCCGATATCAACCCGGGGCACCCCCAAAACGTTCATGAGGGCAACATATTTGACCACGAGGGTGTCTCTGAGGGAATCCAGCCACTACCATCTCGTCTGGATCTTGTGGCTGATAATATACTCTGGGAAAGTTGGGGATCACCAGCACCGCCTCAGGAAGAGGCAGTTTGCACAACAGCCGGGGCTACGGAAACGGGTCAGCAAAATGTCAGTGCTGCCCTGGCTTCAAATAGAACCCGATCTGGCCGCCGTATTACCCAGCCAGTTGTTCGAGAAACCGAGCCTGTGACAACAAAAGGGCCACCTGTCAAAGCAGCAGCAAAAAAGCGGAAGCGTCTGAACCGCCAGGTAAATATAATTTGCACCGGCTGCTACCGAGGACACAGCCCCTCGAACAATTTGATTGTTCTATGTGACTCATGTGATGCTCCGTGGCATCAGAAATGTCACAATCCGAATATTGGTAATGAGGTTATCGAAATCCCCGAGATGGATTGGGTTTGCATCAAATGTAAACCCGAGCAACGTCAGACAGCCCAGACCAAATCCCAAAAGAAGGCTCCAACGAATGTGAAAAAGGTTGGACGCCCAAAGAAACAGCCTGTGTCTGTACCTCAAATTGGTGGAAATTATTATTCAGAAGAAGAACGACGGGCGTATCTGTCATCTCTTTCGCATGATTCGCTAGTCCAGCTTATAGTGAAAGTCTCGAATGAGTGGCCGTCGGTTCCTATCTTTCCCCACGACATGCAACCCGTGACTGATTTCACACCATCACCTTCTGCGACGCCACACAATAATCGGGCCTCCAAACCTACACCGAAGAAAAACCCCCCTTCTGCATTGCTGGATTGGGGAAGTCTGGAACCACCGTCCGAGAACGTTAACGCTATGGATCCAAACCAGCAGATGGGTCAGGCTTCTGATACCATAACCCCCGGAGTTACTGCCCTGGATGCCGATAAAATCTTTGCTGCAATGGTTTCCGATGCTGCTCCCGACCCTGCCCCCCAGCGGCTCTTGGTGGTATCCCTACGGACCAGGTTTTCGCTGGAATTTCTCACGCCCATCCTTCCACAAATGCTCCCCAGCCTTCTACCACGGCAACTTCGCAGACCCCTTCTAGGGCCGCGCGGAGGGCTACATCTCGAGCTGCGCCTGCAGCTAGACGCGCTCGTAAGGCCTCGTTCGTTTCCTCGAACTCCGACCTTCTCACCGACGACGAGTCATCATACTCCCAATCTCGACTACAATCTCCTACTCCATCCGCGTCTCAGTCTTCACAAGTCGGATCCCAGCATGAATCGGACTATGACCCTGAAGATTACCGTGCTTATCCTGAAGCTGACCAGGGCTTTCAGGTGCCATTGACCCCGAGCGATCTCGACATCATGGCAGAGGATAAGGATTGCCCTACCTTCAGTCATTCTATCCGAGGCTCGGCTAAAGAGGCCCAGAGTAAGAAGCCTCATTCACCACTGCCTCAGCGCAAGCAGTGGTGATTGATCCGCAATGTTCTTGTTTAAAGCAGTGAGGAATGCACTGTCTGACACAATCATGGGGGAGTTTGTGGATTTGCGCTGGTCTGTTCTTTTCGGCAATAGTAGGGATTTTTGATATGATCAAATGGGTTTCGCGAATCTGACTTTCTTTCTTAATGTTTTATGTCTTTTTCAGGTCTTCAGCTACCACGATTTCGTCCTTATGACGTGGAGTTGACGTGGAGTTCTACAGGTTCTATGTGGTTTTCTTCTCCGTATTTCCATATTCAAATGCGATAGCTACTTGACGATAACCCGATACACCAGTGTTTCTCTACGGGTTTTCGATTCCAATCTCTCTCTTCCATATTAGGGATTGTCTTACCTTCTCCTAGCTTAATTAACTGGTCAGGCAAGCAGTATAGGTGGCCTTACTCTTTCAGCTAAGAAACTCAGAGAATCAGTAACGTCTCAGTTGAGAGAAGTGCAAGAACAGTATTGTCACAGTTCATAGTAACCGCGGTACGTACCTTCCCAACTAGGTGGCTTCCTATTTGGGAACATCGTCACCTACCCATGTTCCCCCATCGTCTTAAGCTACTGGGGTATAAATACCTGCCCCTTCCCACTTTCTCTTTCTTCTTCTTTCTTCTTCTTTCTTCCCTCAACCGTTCAGTCTCACGTCCAATGATGGATCTATTGAGGGCACTGATTGGATCTTTGCTGCGGCCCAGGTTAGGCTGAAACTAGATTGGGACTACCCGTCTAATGGCACGAAGCATCTCGGGGGGGGGGGTACAAACCTGCGGGCAGTGCTCCTTCAACCGCTGTGGATACAGACTGTACTTTCTTGGGTTCTCCATTGACCGTCAGGAGCTGAACACCAATTTTTTGTGAACCAACCTTAGAAGGAGCTCTGCTCTCATCTCCTTCGACCCAATTTTTGGAACCTTTATTACAGAGATAGCTCTCTGTTGTCCAAAGAATTTTCTGAAGGCACTTGATTTCTTTCAAGGTTCCACTTTCATTCATGTTGTGAGCCGTTATGGAGGATGGGTACGGAAGCTCTAAGGTAGGATATATGTGCATACTCAGCAATCACTTTGTGGGTCATGAAAGGCCTGAAAGCTCTAGATTCAGTCAGAACGAAGCATTTTCTAAATTCTATCTAGCGCTCTTGGGAAAATGAGGTACCGCAGATCTTGTTATTCTTGCTATAGGCCAGTGGGTGTTATAGACGAATTTAGCTTGACCGATGAATATCTAGGTCAATATGGGGGTATTTAAGCACTTGTTTCTCCTCCTTTATATCATTACAAGACAGAGAACAAAAATTGATTCAATTGGTAGTGAAATTGTAGAGCAAGTGTCACCAATGCCCAAGTTGCTGCGGTGTGCTGATCTTATAGATCGTCTTATCTCTTATCAGCCCCGCAAAGCCAAACGCGCCCCGAGGTCGTGCTCACTCTTCACTGCACATCTCTGACATCCAATCTCCAGGAGCCAGAGTCAAGGGCAAAGCAGACATTGCGATGCCATCCTCAAACCCCCAGTTCCTCAAAACAACAGCCAAACCACCCCACCCAACCCCCGGATCAACCAATCCACGCAGCAATCTCGTGACAATCGACACCCTAATAAGCATCCTCTCCAAATCCCTCCTCCACCCCTTCATAGCCTGGATTCTCGTCCTCTGCCTGCGCGCCCAGGTAACACCATCAACAGACCCAGCATGGATCCTCACCGTGAGCTATGCAACGGTCTTGACAGTCCTCTTCGTCGCGCGGGTTATCAACCAGCGCGCCGCCCACGGCGCCCCGCGTACAGTCGATTTCGAGAATGAGGTCGTGGTCATCACCGGCGGGGCAAGTGGGCTAGGTCTATTGATTGCGCAGATGTATAGCATGCGCGGGGCGAGTGTCGCTGTGCTGGATATTAAGGATGTTCCTGAAGATAGCCGCGACGAGGTCTTTGGGGAGGGCGTTTTGTGTATTACATGTGATGTCGCGGACAGGGGTGCGTTGGAGGTTGCGAAGGGGAAGATTTTGCAAGAGGTAGGTTTGTTTGTTTCTGCTTTTGGTTTCGTGTGAGCTTCGACCCCATATCGTCCTACTAGTACTACGGTTCTGGGGATTTAAATGATTGGACAAGTTGTTTTCATAGCGCGCTATGGCTTGCTTCAATTGGGGTCTGATTCGCTGAATATCTTGCAGTTAGGAACACCGACGATCGTTATCAACTGTGCCGCGGCCAGGATCAACGGCCTTTCGTTCCTTGATCTGCCGGCGGACGCATTCGAAAAGACGATCCGCACTAATCTCCTGGCGGCTTTCCATCTGTACCAAGTCTTCTTGCCTGGGATCATCGCAGCAGAGAACGGAGGAACCCTTGTCACAGTCAGCTCCGTGCTAGGCCAGCTGAGTGCTGCAGGATTGTCCGACTACGCAGCAAGCAAAGCTGGACTTAGCGCGTTGCATCGAACGATAGAAGCAGAAATCCGTGGTAGTCCATTGATCAAGACATTGCTGGTTGAAATTGGACAGATGTCGACGCCGTTGTTCGACTGGGTGCGCGCACCGAACCATTTCTTTGCGCCAGTTCTGGAGCCGGTCGAAGTTGCCCGGGAGATGGTGGCAGCGATTGATAGCGGTCGAGGTGGTGTGATCAGATTGCCTATTTATGCAACGCTCGTGAATTGGTATGCCGTGCTACCCGCTACGGTGCAGCGAGTTGCGAGATATCTGAGTGGAATAGATGCTGCTGTGACTCAAAGCCGGCAGACATCCGGAAAGACAGATTGATAGGTTGCTCGAATGGAGCCGAGCGGTGTATATTGGCGTGAATCATGAGAAAAGGGACCCTTGTATGAGTCCATTTAAGATGTATTATAAAGCAGAGCGATCTGCTTCATTGAACATATTCCCCATTCGACCATAGTTTCGATTGCAAGTCTTGCGCCCGAGCCTGGTCGATGAAAAGTGATAATCAAGTGGATCAATTTATTGCTCGGTGGCCAGAATCATCTTCTCACGCTCATGGGTTCTCGGCGCCAGATTAGTCTTCTTAGTATGCTTGCGCACATTCTCCTCACGCCTCTTAATAGCATTGAGCTCCTCGCGCTTGATTTCGCCAGCCTTCTTGATAGGCTTGGGCACATGACGCTGGCGCTTGATGCGGCGAATTTGGGGCATGTGAGAGTACCGCTTGATGAGAGCTTGATCGTACTCCAGCTTGGAACGTTGACGGGCAGTCTTGACTCCGCTGCGGTCTGATGCCTTGGCACGCCAGAGACGAACATTGCCGTCGTCCGATCCTGTCAAGACATACTTGTTGTCAGGCGTGAATGTTGCCGAGAATACACGTTGCATTCGCTTTGTGTGGTAGATGTCACGCGAGTGACCAGTCGATCTGTTCCATAGGCGGATTGTCCGATCGTATGAGGCAGTGACCAGCTCTTCACCTGTGGGGCTGAAATCAACATCCATAACAGCAGCCACATGGTCCTTCAGAACATTGAGAGCACGGTCCATCTTTCTCATATCAAAGATGTAAGCGTTGTGATCCTCGTTTGCCACGGCAAAGTTGAATGCTTCCATAGGGTTCCAAGAAATGGCGTTAGATGCCAGTCTCAGTGTCGTCTTGTGCACCGGCTGGGAAGTACGCAGGTCGTACATGATGACTGAGCGGTCCATGGCGGTCGAAGCCAGGATAGAAGTCTCCGTCTGGTTGAATGCAACAGATGTGATAGTGTCAACGCTGGTCGGCCAGTGCAGAGTCTGCGATGGTGTGGAGGAAGGCCGGGAAAGGTCATAGATAGAAATGACACCAGAAGCGGCAGCAAAAGAGGGGAGGGTTCGGTGATGTGTGACGCTGGTGAAGGCACTGTTTCCGAGATAGGTTGCCATCGGTGGGGCCTCAGATGATGAGTTGTAAGGATCCCACAATTTGATCGTCTTGTCACTCGCGCACGAGAGAAGTTTTCGCTCCGGGGTCCAGCACAGACCCTTGACCATGTTTTCGTGGCCTTGAGTATTCCAAACCTCGCCCTGTGTTGTAAGATCCCACACCTTCACTACACCATCGCCACTGCCACTTGCAAAGCGTTCAAGCGAGCCGGGGTCTTTTGCCATAGAGTAAACACCGTCAACGTGTCCGTTACCCATCTGGGCTAGGAAAGGAGCAGCAAACATGCGTTCCATCTTGATCGCATTCAGAGCACGAGTGTATTCACGAGCCCGCTCAAAAGGATGCTGGGTCGGGTCGAGATTCCGCGACTGGCGAACGACAGCGGACCCGGGGGCCTGCTGCGACGCCGTGGAGCGGGAAAGTGCTTTGATTTTCTATACTTCATTAGCATGGCTACCCAATAAACATAATTTTAAGGGAAAAAACTCACCATTGTGCTGTTGTGAAAACGATGTAGAGAGGAAAAGAAAAACGCCAAGATGGAACTTTTTTCTGTTTGATTTGCCAAGCGGGCGGTGAGAGGACGATGAGCTGCCGCCAGCTTCGAGCTCCCCATCCGACCTGGTCATCAACCTCTCCTCAAACCACCATCTTCTCTTGTTCTACTTTTCTTTAATTACCCATCTCGCTCGCTCGTCATTTGCCGTCTTTTTATCATGTCATCCAAGGTCTCACCACGGATCCAAGAAATCCGAGATCTGGTGAAGTCGGATCCCTCGAAAGCAGCGACCAGTTACCAGAACATCCTCTCCGAGGGCCCAGGATCTACAGAGGCCTCTTCACGAGACTACGAACATGCCTTGATTGGGTTGGGCGAGTTGCATCGGGATGCGAAGAAGCCACAGGAGATCGCGGACCTCATCAAGACCAGCCGTGATACCTTCTCGTCATTTGCCAAAGCGAAGACAGCCAAGCTGGGTAAGTTGCGCGCTGGATCATGCTCATAGAAACCGTCTGACTGTGATTGTTTAGTCCGTCAACTTCTGGATCTGATTAGCGAAATCCCCAACACACTCGAACTCCAAGGCAGCGTCATCCAATCATGCATAGAATGG